TACTTTAAAACAATTTTCGGAATTAAACTTCCTACCTATGGGTTCACTCTTTTTAGATACTTCTACTAAAATTAATATTAGGAGATAATATAATCAATATTTCTTTAGTAAATAAATTATTATTATCTTACTTTGCAGCTATTGCGCAAGTATTAGAATAACTTGTTTTCGAACTAAGTGAATTTAAGATGATAAAATATTTATGCATACTGATTTAATGTATATATCCAAATTTCATAGTTATAAAATTTAAATAAAACATGGTTCCCCTGAGTGAGCAATAAAGCTGAAAGTCTTCTTTCGGCACATCTGCTCACCCAGTGATCTCCTGTCTCCTGCAGGGAACTCCATTAATATGTCTTATTATGAAAAGTCCATTACTGCCGCCTCTCACTGCAGAAATCTGACTCGCTTTAAACTGGGACTTTTCATTATCTGGCAACCTTCGGCCAGCGAGATGGCCACTAATTAGTTTCCCTGCGACTTTGCTAGGAGCGGTCTTAACATCCGTGGCCTGGGGTTTTCTGCAGTTTCTTCGTATGTGCCCTTCATCACTACAGTTCCAGCACTTTAGGGTCGGTTTCTTGTCAATAATATTCCGTCTCAGGACATTGAGTTGTCTGGTTAAATCGTATAGACGAACAGTGACTTGATCCCCTGGCTCCTGGACTTGAGCAGCTCTGATTGGGTGGCGGTCTGTACAAGTTGCTTGCTCGGCTGCCTCGAATTTAATGGCGTACACTAGAGCGCTCTTCAAATCTTTAACATCCGCCATTCGTAGAGCTTTCTGTATTTCAGGATCCCGGATGCTGTCGAGAAAGTATTGCAGGGACAGGGTTTCCCTTGTTTCTCTCCGGCACTCCGAAAAGGCGAGGTAAGATAGCCTTTCGACATCCGTGGCGAACTCTTGGAGTGTCTGGATTGATGCTTTAATTGATGCTTGCTGTAGTCTGATTGGGATTTTATTTGGAGATTTAATTTATGCTTGTTGTAGTCTTTTAACCCCCCTGGGTTGACTCAGGCGATTGCCTGAGAAGTACTGGTTAGGATCTCTACTTAGGCAGTCTCAACCACAGGAGCATAATAAGAGACTTCACAGAAGGCCTGAGGGCTCTCGGGAGATAGTAAGGCTCGGCATTGACTGTCTGGTACTGCCTTGTCTGCCCTTGCTCTGTGGGGTCGCAACATTGTGGATTGATCAAGTGGCGGGGCGGCACGTAATTCCGATTGGTCTTATTAGGTCGCATTCCGATTGGTCTTATTAGGTAGTTGTCCCGTTTCATCAGTGTTGTAGTCTTTTAAACACTTTTCCCCAAAGCGCAGCTCCAACGCGCCGGACAGAGCTTCGAAATCTAGGCTTTTGTTTTCGGGAAGAGTCTGAAGGATATTCGCTGCGTCTGCTCTCAAAGAAGTGACGAGATGACAGGCCTTAGCTTGGAGATCCCATGCATTTGTTTCCGCCAATATAGAAAACTGTGTCTTATATATTTGCCAGGAAGTCTTTTCACCACATGTGAATAGCTTCAGAAAGGGTCGAATAAGCATGTGTAAAAATTTAAAACCCTTGGAGCTGCTCCCTGCCATCGATACGAATTTCTTCAATGAATCAACTTCTTTAGTGACCGCAGTAACTCTGTCATCAATTTGTTGTTCCACGGCAGAAACTCACTCCTCTATTTCTTCTTTTACAGAAGAAACTCTTTCTTTCATTTGGTCCTTTACCGAAGAAACTCTTTCTTCGATTTGTCCAACTTTATTTTCAACCGTGTCAATTGTGTCTTCCACAGCTTCAAAATTTGTTTTCTGTTATGCAGGTGATCTGTCTTCTCATTTCTTCTTGGCCCACTTTCATTTTTACTTTAACTGCTTTCATCTCGTCTTTAAGCGAATCTTGGTTGAATTTCATCTCTTCTTGACAAGCATCCATCCTTTTTTAATGCTTTCATCTCTCATTAACGGATTCCTGTCGCGTTTTCATTCCTTTATTAACAGAGTTGACTCTACCTTCCATCTTCCATCTACCATGCAGCAAATGAAATCATCAGTTGCCTGAACTGTTCTTCCATCGCTCTTGTAATTGGCATTCAAAACCCCACCCTTGACACCAAAAACTGTTGCGTGCGTACAGGTTCGTAATAAATTGAATGCTAAAGTCCGATGAAAAGTGAATAAAATTTATTCTTATCACAACAAATAAAAACAAAATTCTTAAATTTCCTCAAATATTCATACAATATTGCAATATCTCAGATTAGTTATCTTTTAAACTACCAAAACGTTCAACAGAACTAATTCAAAATAGAGAAAGCTAATCCGACTTCACCGTGAATTCGCTACAGTAAACAACAACAATTTTCTAAGCAAGTGAATTAAGTTGTTTTTATCACGCTTTTTATAAGCTTTTTAAATGTGCGCAAGAATGTTCTAATCTTTTCTCGATTTTTGCCGAAAAGCAAAAGCGTAAATTTACGAGATATCTATTTATTAAATGTGCGTGCTCCTGTATTTTTAATTTTTCGGCATAGCTTTCTCTTCAAATAAGTTTCCTGCTGCATTGCGCGGTAATATAAAAGTTTTAGTTAATTCTATTTAAAATAAGTAAATCAGTAACAAAAACCGAAACAATATTTATGGCTATGTTTGATTTTTGCATTTATTATATGCTACAAGTTTATTTATCTTGAATTCAGTTTATTCAATCTAATTATTTTTTGACGCAGGATAGAATTTTAAATAATATTTAATAAAAATATAAAATTTAAATTTATCTAACTGATCTTTTGATGCATTTAGGATTTAACTAAAGTGGGAAATATATGAGGTCATCTATTCTTTCTGTGATATAGATTCTTACGTATGCATCCTGTCCAAAAGTTTGTGGAAAAAATATATAAAACCTTTCTTTGACTTTATTCAAATATATCAACAAAGACACTTTCGAAACAATCCTCTCTGCGATTAATGCCGTTTTGCCAAAACGGTTTCTCTTTGTCAAATGCAGTGCAGAAGTTCTGAAAGTTCATTCAACAGTTCTGTCCCTTTGCTTCTGATATTTATGATATTTCCCAAATAGTGTCCAAGCAACACATCTTGATGTTTGCAGAATAAAACAGGGAAGTAGTTTGAGCACAAATATTGATTTACCTGCTAGGAATTCTCCAACACCTAATACTGTGGGCAATAGGGAAATGTCAAGAAGTAAAATCCATCTGCACTCTTCCAACGAATGTTGTCGTGTGTATTGTATAAAATCTGAATGACTCATCAGGGTATTCATACAGCAAACTGCAGTAATTAACTTCTCTTGTAATACTAATTTCTAGTATACATTCTGAAAAAAAAATGCAAATTTCTGGAAATTCCTCTTTACATTTATCGAAATGATGTTTCAGAGTTGCAGCTAATAAATATGGACTTGGTTTTAATACAAATAAAACTCTGAACCTCATTTCTTGATATGAATTAGAAACGATATAATCAGTCCTGAGAAATATACCAAAATTTCATTCATTAGGATCGATTAAAATTTGTCGACATGCTTGTTTTATATCGGCCATATAGGCGGTTGTATTTTGTCTAAATTTTAAAATCATTTCAAGTAGTTTAGGATAACAGTTTTGAATCGAAGTCATATTCCTTCGTGAGAAGATCTGTTCAAACAATTCTAAGTCGACTTGTGAATTTGTCCTCACGAATGGCTGCACAGTAGAGTGCTAAGGACCGTTCAGAATATGGTGTAAGTAGAATAAATGCTCAGAATATGGAGCAAGCAGGGTAAGTAGACTCTTCAGAATATGACAACTCACTATCGCACGAGCAGTTTTCAATCATACCTTCCTTTCGATACTCATCAATTACTCTTTTATAACCTAAAAAAAAAAAAAAAAAAAAAAAAAAAAAAAAAAAATATTACATCTTAACGTCTAAGACCAAACCTTCAAAATGTTTCCCAATCACTTGTCTTTGGTCACGATAACTTCTTGCATAACTTAACTTATTCGCTCACGTTTCCCGCATACCTGCCTTCCACACCAACTTTACACGATATGTTCTCTCTACGAACCCATTACATTCTTCAAGTATTTCCTGTTCCATTAAATTTAAACAGACGGTTTCTTTGCTTATAAATTTCATCTTGAAACTGGTAAAACTGCTTTTCGCGCAATAGACCAGTAATAAAGTATTATACTCGTATTCTTATTCAATATTAGTTTTAAAAGCTATTTCCCTGATATGTTTATTTTGTTAATTAAAAGCTCGATAACGTAATTATATTTTTTATTTGATTTCCGAATATTGAAAAAATCTACAGCCCACTTTCTATATAAAAGAAAGCATATGTGTTTACTCTTTGAAAAATTAATGAGAATAAAATTCAAAGTATCACTGACAATAAGACTGAAAATTATTTCAAACATTCAGTATATCGAATAAGCAGAGATTTTATCTCCTTTGATTTCTCTTAAATAAATAACGTTTACTCAAATAAACAAACTTAAACAGTATTTGATGCTTTTAATCTACCGCCTGTTCATCATGTTTATTTCCCTAACTGATGTGATTATTTAAATTTCAACTTATTATTTAAAATTATAATTATTTAAGATTATTCAATAAGAGACTCATTTTTTAAAATAATTAAAACATGATTATTTTAAAATTCAATAAGCAACTAGATTATTTCAAATATTATTAACTGATAATATTAACTGATTATTAACTAGTAACTGATTATTTAAAATATTAACTGATATAGTTGTAGCTGATTATTTAAAATTCTATTTGCAATTGATTATTTCAAATATGTAATGGTAACTGATTATTTAAAATAGTAACTGATCGTAACTGATATAATAGTAACTCATTATTTAAAATTCTATTAGCAATTGATTACTTAAAATAATTAATAACTGATTATTTACAATTCAGTAAGCAAATTATTACTTAAAATAATTAATAACTGATTAATTAAAATTCAACAAGTAGTATATTTCTTGCAGATGTTTTCGCCAGTTAAAGAGAAGAAGAGGTACACGATTCAGCAGTTGATGGAAGAAGCACCTGAGGTAATTATCATTTTATAAAATTTTTCTGTAGAATCCTAAATCAAAATAATAGCTGTTAATTCATATCAGAGATAAGTAAGTCAAAATATGCATAGACATCTTAAAATTCTATATTTTGCGCTTCAAATCGAAATTTTCAAAGTGAATGAAATTTGTGTAATAAAAAATTATGCCAAATGTAGCCTAAGGTTTAAAAATAACTAAATAAAGAAGAAGACGCACTAATGAAGAGTTAACTGACTGTAATGAAATTTCTTATGCGGACACTTCACGATCCAATACGAAAAGGCGTAAAGTTTGACGAATGCTGCATGAATTGCAACTGAACATCCGAAACACGTATAGAAGGGAAGAAGTTCCAAATGCAATGTATGTCTTCCAGTTGGTTTGATTCGATTCTACTCACTTCGATTATGACAATGCTCTGCAAATAGATAAACATATAGCATGAGTATATATCGTTACTTGAAGAGGACCTGCAATCTGGATGATAGAAATAGGGAGGTCAAATCGAAAGATCTTTCAGTGTTTGCGCCGGTCAGCGATAGTGCCATTTAATGAAGACGGTAGGTTGAAATATGTATGGTTGAATAGGTAGGACAGGTGTGGTTGAATATGATAGAACACAACGTCAAAAAGGCAGCGATAGATCTAGAAACATGACAAGACGGGAGATTAGAGTGACCGCCAAGAACGTCTCTTGCAGCACTTAATTCGTCATTATCCACGATCTGACTTGTAACTATGAAATCAGTAGCCGTAAGAATCATTAATAATTCATTCAAAGAAAGAGATCTACAAAATGTTCACGTCAACAAACGCTCTTGCAGAAATTCTGGGCTTGTTTAACCCGGAATCTTATTCACCGAGTATATGCATCTTCAGTCCCAATTCGAACTGAGCCATAATGACCAGTAATGACATCTCTGGAGACGTTCAGGACAGCAGTAAGGAACTTCCCTGAATATTGCCCATCACACTGCCCAGGAACAGGAATTATGATCTGAGTGCCGTTTCATTTGATAATCGAATATCTTAGCTTGTCAACCCAGACACCATTAAAGCACAATGATTCATCCACGATGTTCTTTCGAGGCCCGCTGACTTTATGTTTCAACGGGATAGTCATCAGTCTCAAGCAGCAATCATTTTTACTGATTGTCTTCGCACAATTCTCTTGTCAAACATTCAATTAGACAGATTGATCTTCAGAACTGTTACCACTATCTCTACGTCTGTGGTCTTATAAAAAGACTGCACCGATCATCCCAGAAGGTGGTCAAGCTAACTCGATAATGGAGAGAGAGGCTAGCAAAAAATATCACAAGAGGTGATTCGCCATATTAAAAGCAATTGCAAAGCCTGATAACAGCTTGCATAAGAGCCAGAGCTGGATCAACATATTATTAGTTATTCGCTATTTGTAGATACACCTTCTGAATGAAACATTCAGTTCCTCTTAAATTTTATTTACATTATTTTCTATACGTGTACATCACATCTGCTGAATTTAGTCTCATTTGGATAAGTTCTCCTGATAAACAAAGTTTTGTATTAAGAATATTATGAACGGTTCATGAGCAATGTTTTGCATTTTCCTAATTAACACTCTGAAAGTACTTATTTATTTTTATTTACATTAAATTAGTTAAATCCCATTGAGCTTTTGAAGCAGACTTTTCCTACGTTTATTAGTATCAGGCTGTTAATGCTATCAAAATAGTGGTAGACAAACGTGATAATACATTAATGTTGTGAAAATTGCAACCCCATGAAGTACCGGGTGGCCATAATTAAACTGACAGTGCTCAAAGTGTTCTGTAGCGCGATCTATTTACGAGAATGACGCCACATTTTGTAGGAAGATTAAACAAGACGGGGGACAAAGGATTCCGCGAAAAAAATTAGTTCCAAAAGTCACCGCTAGGGGAATATTTGGCGCTGTGTAATAGAAAATCGAGTGTTAACAAATGCAAATTAATACGGAATAAAATTACCTTTTATTATGGATATGCCTTACAGTACAGGTATGGAAAATCTTACAAAAGATAATCAACTTCTATCCGTTCAAGATCAGCCATGTACAGGAGTTACTGTACCCTGACCATGATAAGCGATTGACTTTTGCTCTCACCTTTCTTGCCAGAATGGAGGTGGATGATGCTTGGCCGTGATACTTGGCCATGATACTTGGCCATGATGGATGATCTTATGGGGAGACGAGGCCCACTTTTACCTGAATGGAACTGTGAATACCCAGAACTGCCGAACTTGGGATGACAAATCACCACATGCAGTCACAGCAATTCCCTTACATTCACCAAAGGTAACTGTTTGGTGTGGGTTCCACAGCGGAATTTATCGTAGGTCGTTCTTTATGAAACATTACCCGGACAGGACCGAAAACCTGTTCTGGTTACCGGAGAGAATATCGCCACATGTTGAACGCTTGTTATTCCGGCACTTCAGCAAAGACAATGCGTGGGGAAAAATCATTTCATGCAAGATGGAGCCCTTCCACACGTTGCTGTACGGGTGCAACAGATGCTACGACAGAATTTCACAACAGAAAAGAGTCATTAGCCGCTACTTTCCAAATGCATGGCCACCCTCGGTCGTCTGATCTTACCCCATGCGACTTCTGGCTATGGGGTTACCTTAAGTCCAAGGTCTATCAAGGAGTGGTCCAGGACTTGGCTACGTTGAAGGATAACATATCACGGACTGTACGGGAGATTCCTGCAGACATGTTACTTTCCGCTGTTGTGCATACTGTGCACAGAATGCAATATGTGGTCCAAAACAACGGCAGCCACATTGAACCTCATTTGAATGCAAAATAAAAGGTAATTTCCGTACTGATTTGCATTTGTTAAGACTTTATTTTCTATTACACAGCGCCAAATATTCCCCTAGCGGTGACTTTTGGAACTTTTTTTTCGGAATCTTTCGTCCCCCGTCTTGTTAAATCTTCCTACAAAATGTGGCGTCATTCTCGCAAATAGATCGCGCTACAGAAAACTGTGAGCAAGCACTGTCAGTTTAATTATGACCACCCGTTATTTATGCAAACAGGAAATGTAAACAGGATACATACACGAAATGTAAACTGAGGGAAGACATACAAATGATTAGAATTACAAAGCGACTGCGGATGTGTGGAATGAAAACCGGTCACTTGTTCCATGTATATATAAAGAACTGTAAAATTCTCTCAACCGATTTGTCGTCCTCTGTATGCGGTGAACGTTTAATTAGTAGTGAGTATGCCTCTTCAGCAGCCGAAGGTGCCATACCAACAATTAACGGAGTCCGAACAAGGCCACATCATCGGTATGCGAGAGGATGGACTTTCTTATCGAGCAAATATCCAGGGTAAAACCTCAACAGTGATGTGTGTTTGGAAGAAATGAATAGAATATAACCAAATAAGCCGAAATCCTCGCATTGGGATACGCAATAGCACAACGTCACGGGACCACAGACGCCTCATCCGTATGGCTGTGGTAAATCGTACAGCGGTCCTCTCGTTTGTTAGCAAAATGATAGAGCATGGTTACAGATATTGTGCTAAGTCCACTGCTCATCGCGTCTGCTGCAACATGAACTGTGTGTAAGGGTTCCTCTACGCAAGATTCTCCTGTCGCTTAATCGCAAACGCCTTCGACTGCAATGGTCACGGCAACACAGTGCGTGTACTGTGTCAACAAGCTGCTTTCTCCGAGAAATCTTGCTAAAATCTGGTGTACGATGATGGAATAGTACGCTTCAGACGTTACAGAGGGGAATGTCTGTTCCATAGTATGCTATCCAGCGTCATACCACGGAAACGCCTAGTATCATGGTGTGGGGAGCTATTGGGTATAATTATCGATCCGATTTAATGTAGACAGCGGACAACTGAAACAATAATAGCTACATAAGGGAAGTTGTGGACCAGAGATCCTCGGCATTTTTCGACTCATTCTGGGAGCTATATTTCAGCAGGATAATACCCGTGCACATGTTTTTCATTTCACTTCATCCATGGCTTACATATTCCCAGCGTATGCGGCCCATTCAGCATGTCTGTTCATCTGTCAGTGACTCGCTCGTATAGTTGTTGGGCACACACAAAGACTGAACTTTGGCGTCAGGTCGAAGCCATATGAAATGTCATTCCCTCGTATTACGCACAGAACCTATATGATTCAATGCACGTGTGCATTGAGTCATACATGTGATTCGTGTCAATAAAAAGTGAAAGATCCGTGGCTTAGTATCTCAGCGAAACATTCAGATAATGTTTTCCTTTTTCGTATGTCGAAAATACGCCTGATAATATGTTCTTATTCTTCTAGTATTTTATATCATTTATGCTCTAGATATATTTGCTATGGAAAATATATTTTATATGCAGGTAAAAATGTGAAACACTTCTCTTTTTCTTCCAATAGATTGACTGGCTTAAATATTTTAATGGAGTACTCAGTGATAAAATCTACGGAAACGAAAGCTTAATTATTAATGATATTGATTACATCAAAAAATTCGCTAGGTCCATCGAGACGGAAGACAAGAGGTAAGAGAAACTTCATATGGGCTTTACGTTAAACCTATAATTGTTACAAAAATCACTTTCTAAAAAATAAGAAGTTAGCGATCTAAAAGAATAAAAGAGACCGATACTTAAACGCGAAGAGATAAGACAGAGGAATTAAACACCAGTGTCATTTTATCTAACAATTTTGGCTAATAATAAATTTTATTAAAAGAATTGAACGTCACTATCATTTTGCCTGTTAATTTATTTGATTTAAAGATAGAAATTTTAAAAGTTTCCATTTTGGTTAGTAATTAATTCAATTAAGAAAGCTAAATTAAAAACAGCTGCATTTGTTAATGTATATCTATGACCAATAATCTCAAAAATAAAGATAAATTAGAACTTTTGAGGGCATGATATATATATATTTGTTCCTAATAGAATATCCATGTAATATACCTAAATACACTGGTGTGCAAAAATTAAGGACGAAGTCGAAAAATTAGCATATCAGCTGAACGAAGAGGCAGAGAGTACAGAAAGACCAATCAGGAGGTTAAGTAAGGTGATGTACGGTAGCACATGCGCAGATATGCAGGTAGACGTAATGGGGGAGTGTCTGAGTAGTATAAAGCATGTTGTCGGTGTAAGATCAGTATTTCTGGCAAAGAGATTGCACGCCGTATAGCAGTTAAAATCACACCGAGTTGCTGCTTCAGCGAGAAATGGCGAATAATCAATCTGTTAGACGACATCTGGATGCTTTTACCCGAGGTCGAATCATTGGGAAGTTGGAGGAAGTGTGACAAGTGTGACTGCAGAGTTCGGAATTGCTCACAGCATCGTTTCACGACTTTGGAGACAATTTCAAACTACAGGAACAACTATCCGGGGGTTTAGTAGTGGTCGTCCACGAGGAACCACACCCGCAGATGACCGGTATATTGCCTTACAGGCCAGAAGAAACAGGTGACAGGTGACGGAGGACGAGGACGCCTGGTGTTTAACAGGGGTAAGCAGGCATATGTCCCGCGCCTTCCACTATCCAGATGCAACAACTCCCTGGAGCCGCACAAGGCCGCACCTGGAGCTTATTGATATTCCATTCAGATTAAACATGGCCATACAAGGGCTACATTGAAATTTGATGTACATTTGTGGGTGGGGCAGTCTTGTTTGTACATTAAACAGAGCATAAACACACATGAAATGTGCACATAAATAAATAAATAAATAAATAAATAAATAAAAAGAATACATGAATACTAAAAACACTTATAACATTCAAACACCTAAGACGCTTCAGACACGTAGACACCTAAACACTTAAAGACAAAACAGAAGCAGGCCAGAAGAAACAGGCGGCAGACAGCGGGACAAATCGCTAGACACACGACACAGGCGACTGGACGACCGATATCGCGTTTTACCGTATCCAGAAGACTGCACGGTGGTGGTCTGTTTGCACGACGCCCTGTACGGTGTGTACCTCTAACGCCTGCCCATCGGAGAAGGCGTTCTCTGTGGTGCCGGGAACACCGGAATTGGAGAGACAATGAATGGGGACGAGTACTCTTTACAGATGAGAGCAGATTCAGTCTGAGTAGCGATTGTCATCGCATACTCATCTGGAGAGAGCGGGGAAGCCGCAAACATCCCTCGAACATCATTGAAAGGGACAGGTATGGAGGTGGCGGTGTTCTCGTTTGGGGAGGCATCATGCTTGGTAGTCGTACAGACCTTCACATCTTCGACGCAGGTTCAGTCAACGGGACCCGTTATTGTAACGAGATTCTTCTTCCATATGTGCGTCTTTTTAGAGGCGCTATGGGTCCGCAGTTCCTTTTCATGGACGACAATGCACCATGTCATCGCACAGTAGCTGCCGAACAGCTCTTAGAGAGTGAGGATATTGAACGTATGGATTGGCCGGCACGATCTCCGGATCTCATTCCCATCGAGCATGTATGGGATTTTCTAGACAGACGCTTGGCAGCTCGTACCTTACCACCAGTAACGATTCCGGAGTTTCGATTGGCGCTGCAAGACGAATAGGCAGCAATGCCTCAACAACTCATTGACACCCTCATTCTCAGCATGGGCAGACGGTGTGAAACCTGCCTAGCAGTCAGGGGAAATCATATCCCCTATTAAAGACCGGATGTTTCTTGCTGGGCACCCATCACAGGGATGTTTCGGCCTTCAGTCGCATTGCGCTCCATGCTACTTTTCAATAAAGCTTCTTTTTATCCCTCTGATTTCTCTTTTAGTAAGTTTTGCTTACATTACTCATGTCCTTACGTGTTGGGGATCTTACGGTATTAAGTGTGTTGATTTGGAAAGCTTTTGTACAAAGTTATATTGAAAAAAACCCTCTCGTCCTTAATTTTTGCACACCAGTGTAGTTAGCAGTGAGCCCTAGAATGTCTTTAGTCTGCTTAAGTTCTTCGCTAATATTTACCCCCATTCTTCTTTTTCACTAAACGTGAACTCTTTTTCCTTGAAAGCTTTAAATTAATTTCTCTTCGTAAACACATAGATTTTATTTTTAATATCCCTCAAAATATCATTCAGAAAAAATTCCAATTAAATGTATAAAAAACATGTAAAAAAGCAAAATTCTAATACAATGTCAACAATCTGATAGTTTTCAGTTCTCCTTTTATTTCAGGGAAGTGTCCAATTATATGTTTTGGAGAGTCATTGAGGAATCATTGCCTCTATTGTCGAAGGAGTGGAGGACCATTTACCAAAACAACTTGATAGGCACCAACCAGAAGTCCATGAAGACCAGCCTCGCTGGAAACAATGCCTTGATTTCGTTATGGATAACTTTGATATCGCTTTTAATACTTATTATCAGCGACGGTACTTTGAGAGTCACTTTGTTCATGACGTAAGTGGGAAAGTCATTTATTCTCAAATAAAAAAATGCTGTAAAGGGGTATAATCAAATGTTTCCTAATTCCATGCTTACGGAATCCTCCGGAAATTCGGATCTTTTGCTGTTCTTTCTAGAACATTAATAATAAATAAAATTTCAAAATGTGAAACAAAACAGATGAATCTTTTGAAAAATTTTGCATTAAAATCATAAATTTATTGTAATCTAAAATGACATAAATTTGATAAGTATAATATATAAATAATAGGTCTTCGCTTATTTAATAGGTATACGACCCTGAAGTCTTTACCAATCTATATATGTCCTTAGTGGTATCCTAAAAGTAAAAAATAAATCCAAATGTTGGGGCAAACCTGTGCACTTGAAGTGCTGAATGATATCCAATGTGGCAGTATGTAAAAGTGGCATAATATGGGCAAAAAAGCGTAAAAGCAATTTAGCACATCTGCAGCATGAAAACTTCGGCATAACGTTCTCCTCGTAGGACGCTACAGTCGTAGCACCTAAGTCATTATACGGCCTTTAATTTGACCGTTGATCATAGATATTTGATTCCAGTTACAACAAGCCTCCATGTGATGGCAAATATGTTTTGGACTTTTAAGGTAAAAAACACAGTTTTGTAAAAAATACAAAATGTTAGTTTTTATATGATCCCATTTCCTATTCATTAAGAGTTTATATTTATATTTATTAAGAGTTTATGTTCATTCTAAAAGATAAAATGCAAAATATTTGACTCCAATACGTCAGAAATCAGCCATGAAATTAGATATTCAAACTATTCTAGAACAGAATGCCTTGCTATGTGAAAAGCACTGCAATAAGTGACGTAAGTAGTTTAGCTACTAAAACATACTTATAAAAGTGCGAGGCAACATTTTGGTTTTGAAGGTAAAAATATAGCCACATTTGGGTGAAAAATCAAAGCAAAGGACAAACACATTTTCTGTTTTTAGCTCTAAAGGGAAGTTAGTCCCAAACGGGATATTACAGTCAAAAGTCTTTAATCCGGACGTCCATAATCCGGAATGATCTATACTCCGGACCTCAAACTACAAACTTTCTGTGCATACGTAAACGCATAATGCGTATACGCACGCGCATAATACGTTTACGCATGCGCATAATACGTTTACTCATGCGCGTTTAATGTATAACGGACGGTATAAGCTAAGCTAAAATTATCTATTTCAATTAATGTTGCAGATTGCGTTGTTCCTCAATCTTCTAATTGGATCCGGCTTATTATTTTTTGCAGACAGTTAGAGCAATTTTATAAAAAAAAGCTTGAACTTTCGATTACGTCAAAAAGAATTTCCGATTCTGGAGCTGCCAAAGGATATCTACAAAGCGAAAGCACGTTTCGATGTCCATCAAACAAAAAGTGGAATTGCTGCGAAAAATGGATAAAGGCTCTAACCAAATATATGCAAGTTTCTGACAATGATACGTAAAATAATACGTAAAACAATGATACGTAGGGCCATCCAGTTTTGAATAACGTAGTACTCCACCCGTACTTCGTCACCTGGAAGTCCGAATTTTGAATTTCAAATTTTATATTTAATATTTTGTAATTTTTAATAAGAAACCCAACGATCTAAAAGCGAGCAGTGGCAGTACTGTAAGGAATAAATGATTTTTTCCAGAGTGCAAAACTGCCTATCGGGAATTCTAAAGTTTTTAAATATTTTTAATAAATTAAAGTTTTTAAATATATAGCTGTTTTTAAATATTTTGTTATTTTGCTGTTGAATCGAATTTTAGGTGCCGTAGCGCCAAGAATGCGATATTTATCAAACAAAGTAAATATTCGAAACATTGATAATAAAAAGACAAAAAAGAAGGTTTTTATTAAGCATCTTGGAAAGAAAAATGAAAGTTAATAAGATAAACTAACAAAGAGTAATAAGAATAATAAGAAACTTTAAAAAAAAAAAAGAAAAGAAAGAAAAACAGAAAAGTGTATGGCAGCACTTAAGGTTGCATTGAAAATTCTAAAAGTACACTTTAAAATTCTTGTAATTTTGCTGTTAAATTGTATATGGGCAAGTTTGACGAAAATGATGCCTAATAATAGAACTAAAAAGACAAAAAGGGTTAGTAGGGGCAAGAGTAACAGCAGAGTGATAGATTGGGAGTTCAGCGAGAGCATAAAAATCTTTAACTAATCATTTTGGGCGACATTAAAATCTGACAATACATTTCTAAGAAGGGTTATTGGATGGTCTTTAATATTACGTATCAAACTGCACAGGATATCATTAGCTGAACTCTTTGAATCAACCAATGTAGCTCTATGGTTGTCGTCGCCCCTGATGTTCCAACTGTGTATTCTTTAGGATTCTTTTATGGGATGCTTTCCATTTTGTTCACTTTTAGAAAAAAACCAACAATACTAAGATATTTTTGGAAAAGTTTCAGTCTGCTCTGAACTGAAAAATCAATCTTTAAAAACTGCACTGAAATTATTGTCTGTCGATCTGTACAGATGGAGCGAAAAAAATGCTGAGGATAAAATTTGAACCTTAAAATCTTGAGCAAAATAGTCCTCCACGTAAATGAATTTTTTCTACAACACATCAAATCATACTGATTTGAAAATATAAAATTTTCATTGATGGATCAAGCTTTCTTGGATCAAGTTACCAAGATTACACATTTTGTCAAAATCTTTTTTCATACTGCTCAGCAGCTTTTAAGAGAAAATGTGATTGTGAGATTAGTGGAGTTAGCAGATGAACTCGAATTTTATTTACTTCCTTGTACGAAGTAAAAAGGAAATTCTGGGATGGCAAAAAATTTCGTGTATGAATGAATACATCAACAGTATGAATGAATTCCTCTTGTGTATAGTATCAAGAGTATAAATGAATTCCTCTTGTGTATAGTATCAAGAGTATAAATGAATTCCTCTTGCATTTCCTCTTGTGTATTCCTCTATATGAATGAATTCCTCTTGAATTTTTTCAAAAGGCTTGGTTTATTTGATTACGGCAAATAAACCAAACCTGTTGGGCCAAAGCTGGAGGGCTATCTGCCACGTATTTCAAAAGAAAGATTCATTTTGACTATTTTTGAAACCATTTGGATGATTTTTCTTTTGCGAGACGTTTATGTTAGTTACTAACTTTTGCGTGACATCATTCACTTTATTTGATTACGGCAAAACCTCGAGGGCTATCCGCCACGTATTTCAAGAGAAGATTCATTTTGACCATTTCCGAAACAATTCGGATGATTTTTCTTTTGCGTGATGTCTTATACGTACGACAGAATAAGGACTCTTTATTCCAAAACAAATTGTAAAATGGATTCAAAAGGTATTCTTTGTAACGTCTGTACTTACGTACGCATGTATGTATATATATATCTCGCATAACCCCAAAACTATTAGCAATAACTAAATATGATATAATTATAAAAAAGTAACTTTCACAATAAAAAAGAAAATATTTTGGGATTTCAAAATATCCACCATTATTACAGTAAAATTTGATTGAATATAATTTTTTAAAAATTTCGGTATTTATTCTTGGAGATTCGTAAAATTAAATGCTGTGAGATATTTCGCATTGTGATGATATAGTAGTGTTCTAAATAGGTTGCTTAGGTTGTTGTTGAGTTGCTGTAGTGTATTGCCTTGAATGGTTGTATTTTGTATTTAGCACTGTTGATAGAGGTTGTTTAGTTGTAATTGAATTTGTCATTGGAACTATTGCTGTAGTGTATCATTTCGTATTGTTGTCATAGATTTGTCTTGGATCCTCCTTGAAATTGATCCTGGATATTGTCTTGGGTCCTCCTTGAAAGCTATGATCGCACGTCACGTTTTGCGAACTTGTCCGATTGGATTGTCTTGCTCCTTTTGGTACTTCTCCTCTTCCCCTTTTCTCCGTTTTCTCATCTGAGATTTTCTCCACGTCCGGATTTCTTTATGTCAAGTGCCCTTGGGATTTAATTCTGGAACCGGCGACATTGCTCTTCGCAATAGCTCGGTCAATTATAGAGTCTAAGTTTCGCTATTGATTTTATGTAAAACTCGCTTTTTCGCAACAATTTGAAAACAAATCGCATTTAAAAAATTGGCTTTACGAACAAACTTATGGTAATGCATCTTTCTAAACTTTTTCCATTTAAAGACCCAGGTGGTTTATTAACATTTATATTTCAGTAAATTCCTAGCATTAAAACCTTTTGACTAATACATAAAATGCTCCTGTATGCTGACTTTGTACGAATATGTCGTTACGTCTGACATGAAATTTAACATATATATATATATTTGCATATTTATTAATTTTAAGAGAGCAATGTGTTAACAATAGTCCAAAGTAGTTTATTTTGAATGAAGGTTCCATGAAAGTGTGAATTTCGTTAAACTGGCTGATTTAAATTTTAAAATATTTTCACGAATCATTGAAAACACGGTATTTGTGCAATTTTAGGAAGGAAAATTTAACAGAACACTTCAAAAGGTGCATAATTATAAAATGTGATAATTTTGTAGCATTTGGGATTGTAACTCTGTGTAATTTCTTTATATCCCATATCTGTAAACAAGTATTTTAAGCAACCTTTATTACAAATGAAATTTCTACTTGACGGTGGAATGGCCCATGGCGAATCACCTGCCAACGAATTGTCGGTTAAAGGGCCATCGCGGAAATACATAAAGGCCCAACACTGAAAACTGGGAAATTAACAGGAAGGGCTATTCAATCTTTTAGACATTTTAAGGGTGTTAATTTTTATGAAGAAGGAGAATTCTTCCATGAACGGTCATCATTTGTTTGAAAGCTCCAGGTCCGAGAAAATTCTTTATGAAAGATTTTGTAAATACTCCGTTTTTACAATATACAGAAACGAACGGAAAATCGCAGCTACCAGCATGAAACCCAACGGTTACGAATGGTGAAAAACTGGGTGTCCGCCGAAACCATCGCTGACGAAACCGTCTCGGAGAAAGCAACGCAAGGCGAAAACAT